GATAAACACCCGCCAAGCCAAGGCCACACGAAGTACAGAGAATGCATTTCAGAGAGAGCATTCTCCTTTTTGCATCGCACTTCTCGCACGCCTGTACAAGGCAAACAAAAGCACGCTACAACCGAAGAAAAGACTCGAGTCCTCGCAGCGCACTCCAATGGGGAGAACTGGAAGGTCGTTGCCAAGCACAACGGCATCGCATTGACCACTGCCCGATGCATCGTACGCACAGGACAAGTTGCCCACGAAAAACGTGGCGTCGCAAGCCCGGAACGAACCAAAGTCACGCCTGAAATCCTGGCAGCTCTCGAGCGCTATCTCGACACAAACTGTCAGTACACCCTCAGTACAATGCGAGACTTCGTGGCGCAAGACTTTCCAGGAACACTCATCTCAAAGCAAACAATCAGTCGCCACCTTCTCGGTATGCTCTATACCGTGAAACAAGTTCGCATCGAACCATCCACGTGCAACAGCGACACAAACAAGGCCAAACGAAAAGAATTTGCCGAAACTCTCGTCCAACATCAGCGTGACGGTAACTTTATTGTCTACTATGACGAGACCAACTACAACATCTACTGTCATCGCTCTGTTGGACGGTCTAAGCAAGGCTCTCGTGCCTGTTTGGTGCTTCCGCCATCGAAAGGGCCCAACCTGCAAATCCAATGTGCTGTGTCGCCTGACGTTGGTCTGGTCTGCTATCGCATGGAGCGTGGAAGCATCAAGATGGAGCAGAACGCAGCATTTGTCGAAGAAGTTTGTCGAAGAAGTTTACCGTGCATCGAAGAACTCGCCAGCGTACCAAAACCACTTTGTTGGGAAGAAGATCGTGATTGTTTTGGACAATGCCCCGGCGCACTCTCAAACGGAGCATCGTGTTGCGGCGCACGAGGACATGACTTTGCTGCGTCTTGGTCCCTACTCTCCAATGTTGAATCCCATCGAAAGTTGCTTCAGTGTGCTGAAAGCACATATTAAGCGCTTTCTTGCCGAGCGGACGAACTTACTCTTCGATCGTAGGGAGTTTCATTCGTACCTTGAAAGCCGCATGCGACTGCTCGAAGAAGCTACCACGGAAAGCCTCCCCTGCATCACTCAATCTTTAGTGATTCGCGAAGCGATGTTTTGCCAACGCAATGTCGAGAAGGCGTTGAATTTGGAGAATATGTCCTATGGAACGTAGTTGCGCCACATTGATTGGAACAAAAACCAAATTGAATGGAACATTGCACGTTTTTTGTAACAGTTTTGTTTGTTTCGAATGTTTTTTATTTTTTATGGCCACTTTGATTGGAACAAAGTTCCAACTTGATCGGGAAAAGGTGTAGTACTCCATCCAGACTATGTTGTAATTTTGTCTAATCGGATTATCGGAAAAAATACTGACCAATCGGAGTTAAATAATTTGTCGGGCATCCAATCTCGGGGTTGAATTTTGTCTTAACGTTATATGTACTGCACTTCGGCCACCCAATCAGTACAGCCATCTCGTCGTCCAATAATAATGACCTCCGCTCATATGTCAAGCCGTGCTGTAATTCCAAAATTGCAACATAGTCTGGAGTACTACACCATTTTGCGTTTATTTTCAGCTTTATTTCAAAATATTTTCACCAACCTCCGATATATTTCATCGAATCGTCAATATAATTCACCCAACCTCCATTATATTTCACACCGACGTATAATATCGCCGTTATATTTCACCCAATCCTCGTTATAACTCACCCAACCACAGGTTAATTTCACGTTTCGAAAATATAATTCACCTAAAATTCATTATAATTCGAGCTGGGAATCTAGAAAGATCGAAGCGCACGAAGAGTTTCGCGCGCTTTCACCATTCTTGAATCTGAGCTCGATGGAAGAGGCCATCCCTGCACCACAAACTCCGGTACAGAACGATCCACCGCTAATATGTCATAGCAGCCACCCCAACGTGATCCCTACAAGCGAGTTCTCCTCTCTGCCAAGAGACGTGTGGTTGCAGCACACGACGCCAGACAAGACTGGAAGACCGTTGCTCGTGCATATGCAATCAACGAGTCCACTGCAAAAGGATGGCTCTTGTTAAAGTCGTTGACACCACCAATGCAACACGGTAAGCTACATATAATACACAAAACGATCGAATATGGGGCTGCCACCGATGGCCAAACTCGTAATGAGTTTCGCATGCAATACTTGGAACACACAGGGGACGAGGCAATTGAAGGTATTCAGTGCATTTGTATCGTATTTAACTTAACAATGGAATATGAATTGAGCCGAATCGCTTGCATGTGTAGACTGCTCTCTTTGAGCCGTTTTATGTCCGTGCTACGAAGATGCAAGACTTGGACGTTGGTGCTTGAGCCGTAGATGTATTGGTTTTAACTCTCTCGGGCGTAAATAATTTACTTTTCATGAAATATATAGGTGGTCAGGTGAAATATATTTTCAAAAGGTGAAATTATCCGTTGGTTGGGTGAATTATATCGGGGTTTGGGTGAAATATAATGGCCAAATATCAATTCAGCGTGTAATATAATAGAGGTTGGATGAATTATATTGGCGATTCGGTGAAATACATCGGATGTTGGTGGAAATATATTGAAAAAACAGCTGAAATCAAAAGCAAAACGGTGTAGTACTGTCCTATTAATAGTACTGTTCAACTTCCATGGTTGACGGCATATTGTAGACAGTACACACAGCAGTTGACCTGATACATATTTCGCCACAAACGGGCAAGTCTCGTGGTACCCAGCTCGAGAGCAGCATATTTGGAAGTTGAAAAGTCGCACCGTTGGGTCACCAATGCGTTGGGACGCAGGGATAAACTAGTCCGAACATATGTTGCGAAGCTCAAGTAGCCCCCGAATCCAAGAGACCACGCACAAAACTAACTCGACGAGAGGTTCGACGAATTTTCCGACTCGCCACACGCAAGGGAATGTCGTCTAGACAGATCCCAGCAGCAATAAGCGGCAAAGTAACTCGAAGTGCGTCTATAGTTCTGACTCACCCAAAAATTTGAAAATTGGATTTTCTCGTGATCCACACACAAATGAAGGAAATCCTTTCGTGGAGTTCCGGTAGAATTACATTTTCAAGGATGTTGACAATGATCCTCTGGGATAAAATAACATTTTGGTTGTTGAGATACTCGAAAATGATGGGGTGGATTTATGCTGCTGAGGACCGCGGCCGACCTCCAGCAGTTTGTGTGTGCGACCAAGTGGATGCGTGCTAGCATCCCCGGCTACAATCAGCTGATGGATCCGTTGCGACGTCAGCTCGACGTGGCTACTAAGGCATCCGGAAGCTGCAAGAAAATGGCGTTAGTGCGTGTTGAACTCCTTGCCGTGGGATAGTCGTCCGATCATCTCAAGTGTTAAACACGCGTTGGCGCATGTGGTGCCCTTGTCGCACCTGCGAGAAGACATGACGGTCTGCGTCTTCACGGACGCCAGTGACCTGTTTTGGGGCGAGGTCGCCACATAAGTACCGCCAACGGACCTGAACTGCCTCTCGAAGACCAGCAGCACCAGCTGCTTGCGTTCATCAGTGGTTCATTTTCTGGCGGGATTGCGCGCTGGCCCATCGTGGAGAAGGAGGCCTATGCCGTGGTCGAGTCGTACAAGAGACTCGACTACCTGGTCGTACACCCTGGTGGTTTCCGTCTGTTTACGGATCACCGCAACCTGGTATTCATCTTCAACCCAAGTGGCTCGAACGCCACATGTCCAAGTACCAGGCCGACAAGCTGCAGCGGTGGTCGCTGGTGATGTCGACCTTCCTGTACACCATTGAGTGCGTCTCGGGTGACGCGAATGTATGGGGCGACCTCCTGCGCCGATGGGGTTCGGCTCCAACGGATCAACCAGTTCAGAATGTTCGCGAGTTGATCCATGTGGTGTCGCCCCTGCAACAAGTGGATTTCGAGTGGCCGACAGCCGCTACGATGAGTGACATCCAACGTTCAACCAACCATGTAAGGGGGAGGGACCCCCCCCCAAACGGCGTGGATTGGGACGACTCCCATTTTTACGTGGACCCAGATGGACGAATGTGGATCCCAGACGGTGCTGTTGACCTACAGCAGCGGATTTGTGTGATCGCTCGCCAAGGAGCCAGCGGTCACCGTCGCATCGCAGCGACGACCAAGTCGATGTCCGACAAGTTTGTGTGGAAGACGCTTTCGACGGACGTCGAAGCGTTCGTGCGGGCCCGTCTGCACTGCCTGTGCATTGACAGAGAGATGATTCCCCGCCCATTGGGTTCGGCGCTTCACGCAGAGAAGCCGAACGAGCTCACCCATTTCGACTGGTTGTCGATGCCCATGGCCAAGGCTGGCCAAAAACAAGTGATTGTCGTGAAGGATAACATGAGTGGCTTTGTGCAGCTGTTCGCGACAGAGTCCGCTGACGCCGCCGCAACCGCTTAGTGCCTGATGACGTGGTTTACCACGTTTGGCTGCGTTGACACATGGGTGTCAGATGGCGGTTCTCACTCACTTCAACGAAGTGATCGAGAAGGTGCGGAAGTTCGTGGGTGCCCACCATCACATCACAACAGCCTACAGTCCTTGGGCGTACAGGACTGTAGAAGTAGTCAACCGACTAGTGCTGCGCGCCGTGAAGGCGCTGCTCAGCGAAATGAAGCTGAACGCGGACGAATGGCCGCATGTGTTGCCCCTCGTTCAAGGCGCCCTCAACCATCAGCCGGTGGACCGGCTGGGAGGAATTGCGCTTGTGACAGCGTTTACCGGCCTGCCAGCCAAGACCGCGCTGGCAGGATTTGTCCACCCGACGTCCAAGGAAGTTTTCGTCGTGGACTGGCTTGGCGCCGCCCGTCAGAAACATGTGACGGACCTCCAAGCGGCGCTAGAAGATGTGCACCACAACGTGGCGGTGCGAAGCGACAAGCGCGTGGACGCCGCGACCGAAAGTCCCAAGTCAAGTTTGCGGGTTGTGGGACAAGCGCGTGGACGCCGCGACCGAAAGTCCCAAGTCAAGTTTGCGGGTTTTCGTCGATTTTGTGCTCGTCGGATCGGTCGTCAACCGTCCGACAAAATTGACCCTGCATTGGCGCGGACCCTGCCAAGTGACCAGAGTTATCACAGACTATGTGATGGAGACTCAGCAGCTGGTGCCACCGTATGAAGTTATGGCCCATCACGCGTGCCGATTGAAGATGTACCACGAAGGTGGTAGAGAGGTGACCGAAGAGATCGAGGCGCAGATCGCGTTTGGCGATGGTGGATTTCATGTGGAGCGCCTGGACGAAGCGCGCTGCGTGGATGGCCAAGACCAAGTTTTGGTGAAGTGGCTTGGCCTCGACGATGAAGAATCTTCCTGGGAACCTGGGGCGAATTTGCTGGACGACATTCCAGTCGTATTTCGCAAGTGGGCGGCGGCAAACAAGGAAGTCCCTGCTGTGGCCGCCCTCATCAAGACACTGGACTTTCCGTAGGAGGGTAAGTGTTCTGCAGCGTGCAGAGCAATTGGGTCGGGCGTTATTTTGTTTGACCCATTGCAAACACACGCACTCGGTGTGTGTAGCGTGTCAAAGGTTCCGATACCTTAGTGGAGGTACTGAGTACTTTAGTGAATGGTAGTCAGTAGACGCCTCGTGGCATGACCTCACTAATGTCAGTGTGTGTATATTTGCTGCCTTGACGAAGGTCCAGTGGCCAAAAGCCAAGAAAAAGCGGGAGACAAAACACCTCCGCACAAGCCGTGCAGAAATTCTATAATTGTAACATAGTCTGGAGTACTAGGTAGTACAGTCCTATTCTACCGGTACTCCATGGTTGACAGTACACACAACAGTTGACCTGATATATATTTCAGACAGTACACACAGCAGTTGACCTGATATATATTTCACCACAAACGGGCAAGTCTCGTGGTACCCAGCTCGAGAGTAGCATATTTGGAAGTTGAAAAGTCGCTCCGTTGGATCGCCAATGCGTTGGGACGCAGCGATAAACTACCGGTACTGTAGTCCGAACATATGTTGTGAAGCTCAAGTAGCCCCCGAATCAGTCAGAACACTCTGTTCTTCTAGAGAACATCCCCACTGCCCTGTCAGTCAGGTAGCAGCGTCTGCTAGTTCTGTTGTTCTTCTAGAGAACATCCCCACTGCCCTGTCAGTCAGGTAGCAGTGTCTGCTAGCTGTGTAGGAGGTTTTTGTGCCTTCTAGAGGCTTTTCCTCAGAGTAGAAGACAGCGCAGATTCGTCACGAAAAATCACAGGATGTCATGGCCAATTATAATCTAAGATTTGATTGGCTGTTGGAGGAACTGGCACATCTAGAGCCAGTTTCTCCTCTGCCGTCAGAATTAATTCACTTCCGATTCTCCCTTCCAGTACTCACCTGTCTGCTGCTGCTACCTGCCCTTCCAACTGGTTATGAGCCTTCCACTGACTTCCTCCTCTCGAGCCGCCCTGCCCATCACCCACCGCCTCGTTGGAGCCGGAAACTATGACGTCTGGTTCCTCGAACTCACGTCGATCATCCTCCCTGGTGAAGCGTTGGACTCCATGGCCACGCAATGCCGAGGTCGAGGCAGTGTGGTCCATGAAGGGACTCATCCGAGCCTTCTGCGTCCTTGACAGCGACGTCAGGCGCATCCGCCATCATATCGATGCAGCGGCCAGCGTCCAACCTGGCACCCCCCCCACCTCCCCTTACGCTGGACACCCACAAGGTCGTGGGAGTCGCGTTAACTGAGTGGCTCTCGATCAACCGCTCTACGAACGAGGTGCTCGCGAAGGCGATCCGAGCGGACATCGAGTCCAAGCTCAAGGCCGAAAGTGCAGCGGTCAGCCGCGCGTGCGCACTAGTGCAGGCATCCCTCTCGGACACGGTGCGGCGCGACATCGCCGCCGCTAACCTCGAAAAATGTGCACACTGCATCATTTTGAAGCTCCACGGCAAGTACTGCAGCGAGGAGCAGAAGCACGCCAAGGCGATCTACGTGTATCAACGCCTCCACGCTTTCAAGTTCCGACCTCACGCGTCACTGGATGCGAATCTCCAGGCATTCGACAAGCTGCGCACAGCGGTGGAAAAGCTGGAAGGGCATCCCCTCAGCGACAGCCACCTCGCTTCCGCGCTCTTGGTGGCGCTTCCTTCGTGCATCATGCAGGATTACTACATGTGGCGCGGCCCGAAACCGAGTATCCCATACCAGGATATGCGCCGCCTGCTAGAGCAGCACTGGCCGGACTTGACACTCAAGTATCCGTCGATCCTCGGGCCCGCACCGACAGCCCTCGCTGTACCGGTCCATGGCTCAGCACCCGCGACCGCGACAACGCGATCTAGCGCATTGGCCCTTCCGGCCTTTTGCGATGGCGTGAGGCAGCGGGACGGCTACGGACAAGCGGCCGCCGTACCCTGGGGGGCCCAAGGGGTAGACCCCATGGCGGATTGGTGTGGCTACTGCCTGTCCTCAGGCAGCCACTCGACGTACACCTGTACGAAGCTTTCCCGGGCGTTCCACCAGAACGCGGTGCGTCAAGACTTTGTGTTCCCACCAGGATGGACTGCCATTCCACCTGGCGAACTACCCCCAAGCGGTGGCGGTCGACGAACTCAAGGCGGACCCAGCGGCCACCGCGGTGGCAAATGCCATGGCAAAGGCGGTGGGCGTGGT